TGGAAGATAAAAACATGTGGAGAAGGAGAACATGCTTCAAATCGAATTTTTCAACTGCAGAAACTCGGATCATGCTGAAGTCTTCGTTGGTGAGTTGTGACTGGTCACGGGCAGTTTGATTCTCTCAGGCCACACCAAAGTTCTCTTTTGTGACTTGGCTAGCTATGAGAAATAGATTATCTACCATGGATAGAGTTTCTCAATGGAGTCAGGGAGTTGACGAGACTTGTGTGCTTTGCAAGAATGGCCTGGAAACTAGAAATCATTTGTTCTTTACCTGCTCCTACTCAACACAGATTTGGGATCATCTTGTTAAAGGTATCCTCTTAAGCAATCACACTACTGACTGGTCCGTAATTGTTGATATGCTTTTGGATGAGAGTATGGAGAAGAAGAAGAGGTTCTGTTTCAGATATACTTTTCAGGCAGTGATTCACTCAATATGGCGTGAGAGGACCAGAATTAAACATGGGGAGAAGCCTATTCCTATTGTTGCTTTGATGAGAGTGATTGACAAGGGGATTAGAAACAAGTTGAGTATAATGAGAATGAGTAGAAAAGGCATGGAGAATATTCTACAATTCTGGTTTAGTACAAGATTTTAAAAAGCTTTTAGAGTTTTGATAGCTATTTTATTTGAAAAACAGGTTTACACTTGATGTAATATGGTTTTTTGATGAATAAATTTAGCATTCATTCAAAAAAAAAAAAATCATAAATGGTGGTGGAGTGTGGCTGCTCGGAGAAGGCGGCCGACAACTAGGGTTTTAGGTCTCCCGGGATCTCTGCAAGGCTTCGTTTTTGTTTCCTCTCTTATGACAAAAAGAGAAGGAGGCACCTCCTTTTATAGGAAAAGGGGAGGAAGCTTTAGGGTTTCAAGCTATTGGGCCTTTTCCAATTGGCCTTTCTCTTTTTATAATAAAAGAAATTTGTGCGGGGGAGGGGGTATTGGGTTGTTACAATCTCCCCCACTTAATAGAATTCGTCCCCAAATTCTGCTTGTCAGAACTCAAACCACAAACATCCCAACCAACGTGGGCATCACGCGTCACTTTCTCACTAACCTTGCGGAGGTCCCTCATTATTTTGTATCCCATCCACCCTTCTAAGTCAACATTTCCTTGTGGTTCACCAACTCACCCATAATCTGTGTATAGTTAGGGTACTTCTAACCTCATTTACTCGCCCCACATGTGGTGTCATCGGTAAATCAAAACATCTGTTGTGGTGTGCTGCCGGATTGCCCCCACGCCTCCGCTGTGCTACTCTGACTTTTCTTGCTCCTCCTATGTCCCCATGTTTTGTTTTGGTCCAGGCATTCCCATCTGTGGAACCATCCAAAGGTGTCTGTTGCCACAACCTGGCGGTAGCATTGTGTTCCTCCTAGCCCATATCGGGCTATTCCACTTGCTCTGTGGCATAGGTCCTCTTCAGCTTTGATCTTAGCTCTCCCCCACTTTTGATCAAGCATACATGGTTCCTAAACAACTTACCATATATTCCTTGTACCCGTAACTCTATATGTGCAGGGGGTTTCAAGATTGTGCCAGTACTCATCGGTGATATTTTTAACTTAGGGACTTGTCTTAAGATCATGTCCTCTTACACTAACATAGCTCACGCATCTTGTTTATATTTCCAACGGTGTTCCTGGCAATATCCTAGCCCTTGTTCCATTAACGATAATATTTTTCTCCTATCAAAAAATTTGGACACATGCTTTGGCGTAATCTATAAAGACTCGTCATCTATGTCTCTAAGACTTCCTTGTCGTCGGCACGTCTCTAGACTTCCATAGTTATCATTCACTCTAGCACAATTTTCTCGACTCTTGTAGTCTCCGGTTTTGAGAAATTTTAAAAGATTCAACAACTTAATAACTTATACCACAAACCATAGGTTTCTCTAGTGGGACAGGGGAAGTTACTCCTCCCATTCTCTACTGATCCCGAATAACACGCACTACTAGACTTAGGTGCACGTTACTTCCACTAATCATTTTTTGGAAAGAAGTTATGCATAAAAACATACCGTGATCATCTCAGTTCATTGATGATCCTTAGCAACAACAATCCTCGGCTATAGTTATTGCCTCTTGGGTGGTGGTGGGAATGTCTCATCTGATACTCTTGTCTTATGAACTCCACAATCCTTTGCTATGTGACCTTGTCATTTGCAGCAAAAACATCTAGTATCCGATAATTTTTTAAACGGGCAATTCTTCTTAAGGTTCCCAACTGCATGCACCAAAAACAGATCCCATGCCAAAACTCGTCCAGGTTCTTCTTTCCACACATTTCACATAGTTGTTTAGGTGGAACTATGGTTTCTTCACTTGAGACTTTCCAAGTCCTTTTCATAGTTGTCGCATGCATTCTCTTAGCTTGCTTACGCTCTTCTTCCAGTCCGGCTTCCTATTCTGATGCCTTTTCGATAAGCTTGTTTATGTTTTGGTATTCTCAGACGTTGCAACTGTTCTTAAGTTCGATCCTCATACCTTTCAAGAATCTTCGTACCAGTTCTCGCTTTCCCATGTGATGCCCCGCAAACCTTCTTGGCTTGTTAAACTCTTCGCCATACTCTTTCACACTCCTGTTTCCTTCTTTTATATCTTGGAACTGGTCCTCCATTTGGTCAAAGGATTCCCGCGGAAAGTACTTCTTGTTAAATTCTTCGAGGAAGTACATCCATGTCAGATCTTGATGTCCTTCCGTGTCTTCTACTATTCCTCCCCACCACACTAGGGCATCATCCTTTAGATGATCATCCTTTAGATGATCATCCTTTAGATGATGGACAGCTAGGTCCTTGCAAAACTCTGGTGGACACCTTGCTAGGTCAAAGTTTCTGACCAACTGCCTCCTCCAATTGTCAGCTGCAGTTGCATCTGTCCTTCCGCTGAAGAGTTCCGTCTGCATGTTCTTCATGTGTTTCATCATGTCCCAATACGAGGGTTCTTCTCCTTGCACTCCCGCATGCAGTGGTAGGCGTGGATGTTTCACGATGTTTCTCGTTGGTGGTTGTGCGGCTCCAACTTCTATTGGACCACCATTCCTTGGCATTCGCCCTTGGCAGGCCTCTCGATACATCTGCAACTCCTCCAAGACTACAACATCAACCACCACTTGACCCTTCTTTGGAACCCCGCTTCATGTGTCTCTCAACTCTGGCTCTATATCAGTACAACTTCCATTCAAACTTATAGCACATAATTTAGTTTTAGTGCCACGCTGAGCGGATCTTTGGGCGGTGGTTATTGTCGAGGCAACCTTGGAATTTCGTGGTGACATCCTAATACAATGAATGGAGTGTCAGATGCTTGCACAAAAGAGTTCAGTAACTTCGTCTAGTAAGCGAGAAGCTTCGGTCCGAATGGTGCCTTTCTAATAATCTTTTGAAAACCTCCCATTTAGTAAAATGTTTGAAAACTCTTTTGGAACCCGCATATAAGCACTTACGATCTACACCTACCCACCCGGGAAGCACCGGATGAGTTTAATCCCCGCTCTGATACCAATTGTAACAACCCTGTCCCTGGGATCATATTTTCAACCATAACAACACTTCTCTTCAGTCAAATACTTACTTTATTTCAATCTTAATCGTCTTACAAGTACTTAAATTTAATAAAAACCGAATAACATAATAATAGTTTACGAAACCTAGTGAAACCCCTTAAACAAAACTGAAATAGATGGCACCATCCCGACTTCTACTCCTGAACCTCCTTGATCATACCTGCAAGAAGAAAGGTGAGTAATTTGGATTACTCAGTGAGGGTAGGAACCTACGAACTCATCTCAGATCACATAACACATCAAGCACAAGTCATAAGTTAATATCACCTAGCATTCATCTAACAAGATTCTCTAAACTCTCTAATCCACGAGTTCTCAAGCTAATCACCATACACCTCATGACCTTACACGACGTCACCATTCCCTGCCAAACCGGCATTCGCCAAACCGGCACTCGCCAAACCGGCAATCGCCAAACCAGCACTCGTCAAACCGGCATGCCAAACCAACACTCGTTAAACCGGCACGCCAAACCGACTCTTGCCAAACCAGCATGCTAAACCGGCAATCGCCAAACCGGCATACGCCAATCTGGCACTCGTCACACTATGACACAACCTCATATCACATCGATGACATCATAACGCTCTAGTCTCATCAACATTTAATCTTAACCAGGTTCATTCTTATCATCATTCATTCTTATCACAAAACCGTTTATCCTTTAACATCCTATTATGTTCTAGGTTATTTACTCACATCATCAATCAACGCACTTTCATCACATGACCACAAGTGAACAACTAGATCTAGGTTAACATTAACAAGGACTAACTCCCTGAGGTATTATACAACATGAGAGAAGTTCATGACTTGGTCCTCACCTTAGTCTTTCTCTAGGTCACAGATCCACATCTAACAGAAGAAGAACGTAGCAACACAATCACAGATCTGTACATTCACGCTCAATAGAAGATGTGGAAAAGGGGTTAGGGATCAGATCTTTCATACCCAGTGACAAACGATAGAGATGGAGGACGACGAAGGAGATGTAAATCAGAGTCTTACCAAACAGATCTGACAAAAGATGACGAAAGAGAACAAAGGAGGGAGAAAATCGAAAATGGTGGTGGAGGGTGCCTGCTCGGAGAAGGCAGCCGGCGGCTAGGGTTTTAGGTCTTCCGGGATCTCTGCAGGGCTTTGCTTTGTTTTCTCTCTGATGGGAAAAAGGAGAAGGAGGCACCTCCTTTTATAGGAAAAGGGGAGGAAACCTTAGGAATTTCTAGCTATTAGGCCTTTTCCAATTGGTCTTTCTCTTTTTATAATAAAAGAAATTTGCGGGCTGGTATTGGGTTGTTACAGGATCTGAGGGTCATGCTTGTCTCTCTTCCTTTGTACCTAAGGTACTTGTGATTGAAATGAGGTAAATTTCAACTTTTTCTAAGTACAGGTATTTGAATCTGTAATAGATTTTTCAGAGTTATGATGTTGATATGGAGGTTGTACTGCTTCATCCACTTTGTTGGCTACACCCAAGAACTTGTATGTGGAGCTCGGGATTTACTGCTACTTCATTGTTCTTCTTTTTCTGATTGATCAGAAAAAGTACAACCAGATTATTCTTCACTCTACACACATCCTCTAACGACGAAACGACTCCCCTTTCCAGCTTTTCGTAACGCCTTCTTCTTTGTCTGTGGTAATGCAGGTGGATCTTACCAAATGGAAAAAATATTGGATTTTCACTGCAAGAACAAGTTTTGTTTGGGTTTACTCTGGCACTCTTAAGCCTCAGGTTAGAACTTTTTTGGTCGTAGTTTGTATTTATATCTTGTTTCGATTATATGTTCTCTGATAATGACGCATAATTGACGTTTTCCCATCTACTACAAGCAATTGTGATTAATCTATTGTTTTCTTAAACAGGTTACTGCCTTAAATAACAACCTGATCTCCAAGTATTTCAAGTCAGATCCATCACTAGGAAATATATGAGTACAATATTTTATCCTTTTTTGTTTCAAATATTCAATAAACTAACTGACATATGATATGTATTGAATATGCAGATAAATGTTGTTCAGGACTTGAACCGTGTTGCGTTACTACAGGTACAGGTCAGTGCCATTTCTAGAGTATGAAACCTGGAGTCTTTGATGTTCTTTTTTAGGATATATTTGAGCACTTATACAAGCTAAGATAAAGCAAATCAAGGAAATATGCAGGAAAATACAAGTTTAGTAACTGTGGTAGGAAAGACTTTGATCGGTTAGTATTAATATATCCCAAGAATGTTCTTCTTGAGTTAAGTAAATCCAAAAGACTACTCTACTAAACCAAATTTTTTACTAGCCGAAACAAAGAAAGAAAGAAAAAAATCATAGATCTTGTGGGGAAAACTGAAAATAGGGACATAAACACATGGTTTGTGAATAGCAGTGCTGAGAAAATAGGGCGTGAAGTTGGATAAGAATTTTAAAGGCTCTTCAAAAGATTTTCTGCTTCGGAAAATGTGTGTGGTAAACTACAGGTGAACTTAATCTTACCTGAAGCAAAGACTGGTGATTGCTGAAACAATGTCCATGTTAATTGCATAATGTCCATGGAATTAATTCTTAGCTCAATGTCTAGGTTTGATCTGCAGTTAAAACTATCAACTAAATTGAGTACCCAGAACATGGATGCATTCATCAATGAAGAATTGAAACAAAGAGATGGTTTTGCTAAGTTCATAAATGTGAAATTACATGATTTTTATATTAACGCCAGCGACAGCGGAAATAGTTCAAAATAACAGTTATGATCACGGCCAATACATCAGTTGCGGCAAAGGAGATATGTTTCTCATTCAGTACATCAAGTAATAACAGCCTCGCATCTGACTCTAGAAATAACAGTGGCAGCGGCAGTTCCAGTTTTCTGTCTCGAACCGATTCTTGGCGATTGACGCGGCGGTTGACGTACTTCCGTCGTAGCTATATTTATTGCCGATGACGCCAGTTTCTGCGTTATCAAAACGAACAGGCCTATTGTGTGTAATTGAGAAAGGAAAGAACTCAATTATTTAAAGCATCATTAACCTGTCAAATTCAATGAAATGTAATTACATTAAATATTATATGGTAGAAATCAAATTAAGAAAAAACCAGAATATTGGTACTTCGGTATCCTCTCTGCTGCAAGAAAGCTTTTTTTTTTCTTTTCTTGAACACCCTGTTGAACTCCTGAATCAGTGGTGACGGCGCCTGTAAATTATTTAGAGGAAAAAAAATCAAATAAAATTACAAGAAAAAAATTGTATGCAAATTTGACATAAAGATATATGTGCCATTGAACAAAAGGAATTACAAATACTAAGAACCGTACAAAATACAAATTTAACATGTGCATATACATTCTCAATGTAGTCCCAACTTGAAATAAGAAAAATAGAGAATAGTGTTGAACAACAAGAGAAATAAATTAGACTAAGTGTTCATGTTATTCGATGTCATAAGGGACTTATGTACAATTAACAATGACAATGCGTCCATTTGAGGAGAATTAATTGTGAAATACCATGACACTGGTCAATATCGTAATGTGTGAAACACTAGAGGCCAAAAGACAAATATGTTGATACCGAAAAAATAATAAGTAATTCGGTTCTCCTTATATAGTCGATTTCATACGGATACCTTAAGTTGGTTCGTCTTAGTGGGTCTCTTGGATAAGGTCGAGTTGATGGAGATGGGAAAAAGTTGGAAAAAGGGATATAATACACATATACACACTTGACGGTTAAAATTAAGGTTTTATTTTCTCTATATTTTTGCCGACTTGTACTTTCCTAGCTACCTCTTCGAGCACTAGCTTATTTCCACCATTTATTTTCCCTATTTGTAACCGACAAACCTCTTTCACTCATCTAATAAACATTTATGAAATAACCCATTAACAAACATCTTTTTACTAATTTCTGATCGAACTTGGTTCAAACAATAAATTTAATGTTTTAATTGATAAATGGATATGACACTGAAGAAAGTTGTGATATAAATTGTGACGATAAAACAATAATACACAGAATATATCATGTATTATTATTGATGGACATAGAAGTGAACACATATTCAATGTCGGCTTATATGGAGGGACAAACGGTGTGACTGCTCTGAATCTAAACATGTGTCCCCCCGATCTTATTAATTAAAGAGTCGGATATTTTTTTATACATATATCTTTATATAGAAAATTTTAAATATTACAAATTTTAGTTGATTAAGGGACGTAAAATATTTTTGCATATACATAATTTATTTTCATCACAAATTTTATAAAGATATTGATGAAAAACTTTAGAATATATTTAAAATTTTAATAAATATAGATATTAAAAAAAAATTTAAAAAAATTTGCCTGAGAATCCAATTAAATGTTGAGCCGACCCTGTACATATTATACCCGCGCTTGCGCGTAGTGAAGCGACCTAGTATTTAAAAAGTCAAGACATAAAAGGATTGTATTGTGGGCCACACCATCGTCTCGTCGTCTTTAGTTTGCATAAATCAACGGCTCAACATAATACATTTCAACGGATGAGATAATTTTGTTAACTTCTGAGATAATTTTGTTAACTTCAAAATCAGAATACATAAAAGGATTGTATTTTGTTAATTTCAACGGATGAAACACCTGAGAACCGTAAGATATTGTGGATGCCTGATCAGAATACATTTCAACGGATGAGATAATTTTGTTAACTTCAAAATCAGAAAAGTGGAAGAGATTTAGCGCTTATTAATAGGACAAGAGAGCCCCTTCGATTAAAAAAAAAAAAGAGAGCGCCTTCGATCAAGCTCTCCTTCTCTCGTTCTACCGCCGCCTTCTCTCTATCTCTTAAAGCGGCCATTGGAGGTCTCCAAGAACCATTTTAAGCTATACTTTTGGTGAATTTCTCTTACTATCTCTCTCTCTATTTTTGGTGAATTTGAACCGATTTGATTCAACGATTTTGTGTGTGTTTGGCTTGAGAGAAGGTTATATGATTTGGGTTTTGTTCTGTCTTATTTACTATCGGCGAGTGATGATATGATTGTTCTTTTTTTTGGTTTTGTTTTCTTATGGATGTTACATTACGTTTACGCTGAAGCTTATCATCGTTTTGCAGATCTCTAAAGTCGTGTGAGAAGATACTTCTTTTTTTTTAGAGAGAAGGTTTGAGATTGATCTACTAACTTTTCAATTCCAATTTTTCTGTTGATGTGATGATCCTTGTGGGTGTTTCAAGGTTAGCACAAGAACATGGAAACAGAAGATGAACTGTGGCAGAACAATTGGGGAAGCGCTTCCATCTTGGATGACGAGATGGCTATGGAGGAGGAGGAGGAGGAGGAGGAGCCTGATTTGCAAGTTTTCAAAGCTTCGTCGGGCCAAGACAACATACAAGCTAATGTTGATTTCCTGCAAGGCCTCAAGGCTCAAGCGTGAGATCTGAGGACCATGCTGAACAACATGTCCTTTATGGAACAGAAGATTCATGAACTGCAGGGTCTTGTTCATCTCATCGTTGGCCGTAACGGACAGTACCAAGATGAGCTCGTTGCTCAACAGCAACTCATAACCACTGATCTTACTTCCATAATCATACAGCTGATTTCAACTACAGCTAGTCTTCTTCCATCTGTTAAGCATAATATGTGTACAGCCCCCAGTTCAGCCATGTTCCCTTATCCAAGGGAGGCTAATAACGTTGCTTCACAGACTCAAAGCGAGAGAGAGGAGGCACATGAAATGAAAAACAAAGATGATGCGGAGGAAGGAGAGAAGAGGTAAGAGCTTGGCTACCCCACATCTCATGAATCAACCGAGGAAGGACCTGTTATAAACTTGGTTCAAAAATAATATAGTTTAATTCAGAAAGATAGTAAAGACCATAGGGCCGTGGAAAACATAGTTATTTACGAATTTTACCTAATTGCGCTGGAGTGTTAACCGAATAAAATCGAACCACAATCGAAAGTTAACGTAAACCGTAAATAGTGTTAAGTCAAAGAAAATCCAAACCAAATTCTCGAAATCCACTTGATTAAAACATTTCAAAGGCTAAGAGTCGAAACTAGTTTGCAATTGAAAAACCCTGATTTTCCCCCAAATCGCCCTCTCTCGATTTTGTTTGAATTCATTCTCCAGTCCCTCTGTTTTTGGTTACTTTGTGGAATCGAAATGGTTGAAACAAGAAGGGGTAAGAGGAAAGATACTCTGACGAAAGAAACAGAGATAAAGGAAAAACAGGGAAAAAGAAAGAAGATAAAAAAAGAGACAACGGAAGAACGATCGAGTGATAAAGAGCCGATAGATGTCCTTGTAAACGCTGCGGTGGCTGCTGATGAAGTGGCTGAGCAGAGAACAAATGATGTTTCTCCACCGAGAGCTTTAGATAGTCAGCAGTCAGAGGAGGAGGAAGAAGGAGCGGAGAAAGATAAAGAAGAAGGAGCGGAGAAAGATAAAGAAGAAGAAGAAACGAAAAAACAAAAAGAAGGATGAGAATCAAGCGAGGAAAATGAGCATGCAGCGAATGATGAAGAGTTTGAGACGGCTAGTGAGGTGAGTGATGAGGATGAAGAAGAAAATGATGGTGAGATGGGTGATGGGAAAGGTGATGGGGATGAAGAAGAAAATGATGTGGAGGATGCCTCGGGTAAAGATAATGAAATTGGTGAAGAAGAGATCGGGAACGATGGGGAGAATGGGGAGAATGACGAGGAGGTAAGAATTGTCAATGTTTTGGTGAAGGAAAGATGTGTAAAAGACGTGTAGAACTAAGATTTTATGTGTAGAACTAGGATTTTATGGGTAAAACTAAACGTATTATTAGAACAACTTGGTGAAACAATGAGGAAATGGTAAAACTAGTAATATGCAGGTGTACTAGGGAGTACTATAATAACTTGAGAAAACTATTTGGTATAATTGATATAACTGACGTTAAGTAAATGTAACTTGCAGAAATTTTAGGCCATCGAGCCAATCAAACCAAGCAGGATGTTCTTATATATTTCGGAGTACAAGAAACAAATAAAGCTAGGGACAAGATGCCTGCTAGTAGACGTTTAACTCTCTGAATATTCTGCCAAGTAATGCGGAAAATAGGTGGTTTAAGAAGCATCCACAATTATGTCACTTGTTCCACGTAAAATTGGATGCAAATGAAAATTCATATGCAAAGAAGAAGATCTCAAACCACAAGGTTCAGGGGATGTGGATGATGTTACTGCATACTGCTGATGTCATGATAGACCATGATTTTGACCCGCTTTTGATCATATTTTCTATATGTTTTTATTATAATTATCTATGTTTTGGAGTCTATTAGGTATGTTTTCAGGTTCAGGAGCATTTTGTGGTAAAGTGATGATTTAGGTGCCTTTTGGTGCTTAAAGAAGAGTTTTCCAAGATGACTATGAAGATCCGACATAAGAGACACATATCGATCGATACACACCCTGTGTAATCGATCGANTATTTTCTATATGTTTTTATTATAATTATCTATGTTTTGGAGTCTATTAGGTATGTTTTCAGGTTCAGGAGCATTTTGTGGTAAAGTGATGATTTAGGTGCCTTTTGGTGCTTAAAGAAGAGTTTTCCAAGATGACTATGAAGATCCGACATAAGAGACACATATCGATCGATACACACCCTGTGTAATCGATCGATGACGCTTCCGTAGAAGTTGAAGTCGAGATACTCCATCGATCGATGTACGCAATGTACCATTTATCGATACAGAGCGTGATGAGCAAGATTTATTTGGCCAACTTGAAGCCCAAGTTCTCACCAAATTAGAAGACTGCCCCTGACGAGTTTTTAACCTAATTGTACTCCATATTTATAGCTATGCCTATGAGCCTAAAAGATATGATGTTTTGAACCAAGTTTTGTATTCTATTCTATTTAGCAATAAAAGCATTTTCTTTTCTTCTTATTATTTTGCTATGAATCTCTTGGCTATGTCTGAGTAGATTCATATGTTAGATTTGGGGTTCAAATAGTTATGAGGGATTAGCCCCAACTATGGATTGTTGAGTTGTTATATTCATTATCCAAATGAACCCTAATGCTTACTCTATACTTGCTACCTAGAGTATTGATTATGGAGTGACTAATCTAATAGTCATCTTCCTGAAATCATTTGGCTAAACCCGGACTCTATTAAGGCACGATGCGACAGCCGGTCTGATAGAAATTCTCGGGTGAACAAAGTTCGATCCGATTTGATACTTAATATCGATCGATACTCCTCTAGGGTTATCGATCGACGACAGCTTACATCGATCGACACTGCGATAGCAACATCGATCGCTGCAGTCGGCAATCAGATCAATGGACGAGTCTAACTAGCGACAGCTATAGATTTGTCTAAGGATTGAAGTTCTCATATATTTGCAAGCAATTCGTTAAGACATCCATAGATCTATAATCTTGATTTTCTGAATAGTAACCTTGAATCTAACTATTTCTCTTTATTGTTTTCAAAACCAAAACCTATTTTCCTTAGCAACTTACCATTGCTATTTATTTTATTTACTGTTTTAAACATTTTTCAACCTAGCTTAATCATTTAAGATTACATCTTTTGTGACTCTAGTTCCTTGTGGATTCGATCCCTAAGTGCTACGATTGAACCTCTTATTTGAGAGAGTAAAATCACTCATTAGGTTAAACATTTGAGTGACATCATGTCACGAAGAGGAGAGAAGTGTGGTTTATTTTCATTGGTGTTCACATCCGTTATGGGCTGAGGGAACACACCTTGATATCACGCCTAAACTACAAAAACTATTCGCTCGACTACAAAGAGAGGGGTAGTAAAAAGTTTGTGAGGCCTCATTTCAAAAAGGGAGAAACAATAAGGTTGGAGGATGTGAAAAAACTTTTGGAAATGGGACCCCATAGAGACATGCTGAAGATGATGGTTCTGTTCTTTTTAGGAAGTGTGATTTGTGCGCAAACAAAAGTTGGTGTTAAAGCCAATGATGTATTGGATTTTTTCCAAAGAGCTGTGGATGATCTGAAATTCTGCGAGTCCTTTCCATGGGGTATATACTCCTTTGATTATATGCTTAGATCGATCTCTCACACAATGGATCATTTTGGAGGACTAGTGAAAGAGAAGACACTATGGCCTCTTCCAGGTATATGTCTTCCACTAGAGGTAAGTAATAGAAATTATCACTTTATCATTATCATCAAGATTTTTCTGTTACATATTTAAAATAATGTTGGTTTTTCAGCTTCTTACTTTCGAGGCAATTCCAAAGTTGAGAAGGAAGTTTAGGGAACCAGTTGAAGGAGCTGATGTAGAGTGCCCGTGGATGTGCCGGACTATATTAAAAAAAAAACTGAAATGAAAGGGTTTCCTCTTGCTAGCGTTAATCGGGAACTGGATACGGTAACGATACATGTTTCTTGCAACTCCTATGGAAAACTTACGAAAACTAAGTGAAACTTGGATAATATTGTAAAACTGTATGAGGAAAACTATGTAAAACTTGGATAATTTGGTAAAATCGTATGAGAAAAAGTAAATAAAACTGGTAAAACTTGGATAATGGTAAAACTGTATGAGAAAAACTATATAAAACCGAGAACAAGTATGTAACTGTTTTAATCTATTTTTGGTTGCTAGTTTCAGGATATTGACAACATCCTGCCAACCAGAAGTGAGGAAGAAGATGCTATTGTGGCCGACCTAACTGAGAAGGAGGACGACCATGATGAGCCAGATCTTGCCGTAGTCAGCTGGGTTAAGCGTCTTAATGTAGGATATTCAGTCTTTTTTGAAGACATGTACGCAAAAGACATTGCCGCACGAAAGGTAAACGTGGAACATGCAGTCCTTGAAGGCCAGAAAGTCGTTGAAGATGTTCCTCGAGCAGAAGAAGTGGAAGACCTGGAAAAGATGTTGAAAGATGTGATCAAGAAAATGGAAAGTTTTTGGGAACACTAGAGAGAGTGACAAAGACACTGGACAAATGGTTATTGAGGAAAGGTTGGACCAGCTTGAGGCGTTTGTGAAGGAAGCACAGAAGTGAAGTTGGTGTCTTATGTCGGATAATGTATGTTGGAACCTTTGTTGTTGCTTTTTAATATTGGATTATGTTTTTTGAAACTTGGTTGTTGTTCCTTTGCAAAACAAAACTTGGTTATTGCCAATCTAATTTGTTTTTAACTTGTCATGTAATAGGATTTAACTTGTCATGTATTAGGAGATTAAGAAAGAACAAGGAAACAAGGGAAAAAAAAAAAAAAACAACATAGAGTTTTAGAAATCTTAAACAACCACAAAACAAAACAAAACAAAACAAAGACAGTTTTACATGTCTTAAACATCCAGAAAGCAAAGACTTCTAAGCCACAGAAACAAAAAAAACTTGAGTAAAACAAGGACATGACATGGAGTACAAGGGAATCTCGTTCATTTAAACAACAACATTAGTAAGTTAAGTTGGAGCCTTCACAGCGAACACGGTGAAGCTCAGACCTGAGTTCACTAATCTATGACTCTATCTCAGCCACACGGTTTAGTATCTTCTTAACCTCATCCTAGATTGAAAAGACCCATAGTTGGCGGAAATGGAAGCTATCATTCTGCACAGAGAAACTGATAATAACCCTATTTTCATCAGTCATATTCAAACAAATTGATACCATAATTTCAACTTTCAAAATGGAATGAAACATCTCGCAAGTACAAGTTTTTCCCACCAAATTTTCTAAAAACATCTTGCCCTCAGTGTTGTAGATCTCGTACTCAAGGTCATAACAATTAAGCTCCCGCACAGGTAGCGTACACGCAACACCCCATAGATCGTGGAAGTAGTTCTCAACCAGAGGCACCAGTTTGGTATCGATCGACCCAGAAACAACATCCTTCTGATGTTGATTGAACCAATAAGAGAATGTTCTGATGATACAATCCAACATTGGTATTAAAGCCCACTTACTAGCCTCTCTGAACACGTTGTTCATTGATTCCACACTATTACTTGTGTCCAAGTTGTACCTATCACGTGAAAAAAAAATCCTTGCCCATTTGTCTTTTTCGGTATTCTCCTCCACATACTTCCAAGCTGAATGATATCTTGTCTTAAATGACTCGTAAGTAGAGTTGAAGTCAGCCATAGTGTAATATATGCCCAATTCCATGAGTCTATGCCCGACTACATCTTTGTTGACGTTACAAGCATATCTTTTCACATTTTCCTTCAAATGCCATAAATAATGACCATGGTGAGCCTATGGAAACACGTTTGCTATTGCATAGATCAGACTTTAATTTCTGTCACTCATGAAAACCAGTTCAGAAGAGTCTGGTATAGCAGTTTTAAGCATCTCCAGAAACCAAGTTCAGCTAGCATGATTCTCTCCATCTAGTGCTCCAAATGCTAATGGATAATGGTGACGATTAGGATCTTGAGCTTTCGCAAAAACTAGAACACCGCCGTATCCATTCTTTATCCATGTCGCATCCACAACTATCACTTTTCTCATGACTGCAAACCCTTCAATGCAAGCTCCCAATGCTATGAACATGTACTTTAATTTACCTGCCTCATCCAATTCCACACGAGTTTGTGTTCCTTCATTTACTTGCTCCAGCATGTACAAATAGCTATACATCATCTTGTAGCTATCTTCCGGACTATCACATCTATCAGAAACGGCCCGATTCAATGACCCCAAGTTTGTTCTTAACCAGACACTTAATAACTTTCGGAACTGGAGTTTCCAACTCTCCCGGGAATTCCTCATTCAAAAAGGCTGAGACTAGTTCTGCTGAACCTCTTCGCTTGTCATTGCTGTCACTTTGACTAGTCCGGGAGCACGTATGCATCTTCCTATAGCTTCTAATCGAGAAAATTTTGGTCTCAAGAATCCTTGCAGCTCGTAATCCCCATTTACAGTTATTTTGTGAACATCCCATCACCAATCGTTTACGGTCAGACTTTTCGTCAGATAATGATATCATTCACTATATGCACCTGATATCACTCAAATTACGCTAAGGAGTGAATTACTCTCATCAAAAGAGGTTCAGTTGTAGTACTTAG